CAAGTAAAATGCATGGTGACGCTCTGTCGGCTTTCATACGTCTCGCTGTTGTAAGCATGAGTGTGAGCGTGGAGAAAGGCAGTGGCTGGAGTAGGTGGTAACACGGGTCCTCGAAGGGGGGTGCAGAGTGGACCTTCCGTGGGGAAGGGGTGGGTAAGGGGATGCCAAGTAAATGAGAAACAAGGAAAGTTGAATGTAAATGTATATAAAATCCTGTGTGTTTAAAGTTGAAATTAAAATTTAAAAATGAAATTAACCCAACCTGATCATCGCTTTTCTTTATTCCCCTTGCAGTCTGACTACAAGCACAGCTCACAATTTCTCCACAGAGAAAAGTACCAATTGACTATGAGTTGATACCTCTTAGTTTTTTCCTCTTTCTTTTTAATATATAATTTTGTTTATTTTAGAGAGGAAGGGAGAGCGATAGAAACATCAGTGATGAGAGAGAGTCATTGATTGGCTGCCTTCTGCACGCCCCATACGGGGAACGCAAGAAGCCCACAGCCCAGGCCTGTTCCCTTGGCCAGAATCGAACCTGGGACCCTTTAGACCGCAGGCCAATGCTCTATCCACTGAGCCAAACCGGCTAGATCTAGTGTTTTTCTCTCAATGGGGCAAGAAGGTTTCCAGGTCTAAGTTTATAATCTTTTTACCAGCCCTGAAAAGGTAGAGAGAAACAATAAATACATATTACTGATCGTTTCAGAAAGTAACGCTTCCCTAGGGGAGAAAGTGTGCTTCGGCAGATTTTCCAGGGTAAATCCCAGCTGAGGGTGTGGCCGGAAATCGGTGCTGACAGGCTTGTCTTGGTGCCATAGAGGCAGGAGGCATCGCCGCCACGGCGCCCGCTGCGCAGAGGGCAGACCGTGCTGCCGGGGGCCTCGCCCACGCAGGCATATGTGTCTGCTCCTCGCTCTGCCTGCGTCCATCCGCACATCTCGCTGTGGTGGTAGCAGGCATCGGTGTGACTCCCCGTTTATACGAATATCCTTGAAAGCATATGAACTGCCATGCCCACTCCAGACATCCAGAGCACTGACAGTGCCATTGTTCAGAAAATAGTCGTTACGGATCGGCCCTCTTCCTGTCGCTGGTGCAAAAAGTGAAGAAAACGCTGTAGGGAAAGCATCAGCCAGATTCTAAGCACAAATGACGGAGTGGGTAGAGGCCACGCGCATCATGAAACGTCAGGCCTCCAGGGAGAGGGAGGCTGGCACGCCACCAAAGGGCGGAAAGCACAGTGGCCGGCCTCTCCGGAGAGGGGCTGCTATCCGGCTGCAGCAGCACAGGCCTCCGAGCTCACTCTCTGCCTAGAATTCGGGCTTCAGCCTCGCCGTCTGTGAAGCCAAAAGGTAGCTGGAAGCCATTTTAGACGCCCATGGTCTCCAAAACTCACCTCCCATTCACGCTTTCTAGAAAAGGCGCTTGAGGTTTACAGCAAATCCAGGACATAACTCAACACGGGAGCCCCAGGCGAGAGCTGAGAGGGTGAAGCCAGCATCCTGGGCGAGCGGAACGTTTTGCTGTGGAGTTTGCATGTGTGGTTCCTTCCGCTCAGTCTGTAAGTTCCCTTCCCCTGGAGAGTCTGGGTTGGTAGAAGTGGTACAGCGATACAAACAAGTTTATTTAAAGGTAACAGCAGTACAGGCTCCAGAGAGCTGCACAGATGCCCACAAGGCTGTGGGAAGATGCTCAGCATCACCAGTCCTCAGGGAGATGCAAACCAGCCCCGCCCTTTGGTAAGAATAAAGTAGTCCCTTTGGTAAGAACAGAATGCGGCTGCCAGGGGCCGGGAGGGGCAGCAGGCGGTGCTGGACCGTCGGGGGTCTGGAACAGTGAGTGTGCACTCCTGAGCTGCAGCTTACGGAGGGCTGGGATGTAAACTTTATGTGTATCTGATTGCAATTGAAAACTAAAATATAAACGAAGCAGAGGCTATTGGAGAACGCTGGCAGGGCGCTCCCAGCCTAGAGTGAGCAGCCGAGGACGGGGACAACTCGGGGTGCAGTGGGGAACAGGACTCGTGTCTTAGCTGGAGGAAGGTGGCGGCAAACAGAGTTGTGTGAAGAAATCAGTCCAAGAGGAGGAGGCAGACAGTAGGGACTTAGAAACAGCCACTCAGGAGTGAAATATAATGGCATACGCTCCCCCACCCTGCGTCTGTGGACCTGCCTGGAGGTTGTGGTGGGGAGGCACGGTGGGCCACTGTAAGGACCAGCTCCAGACCCACCGCTGTAGATGGGGTTACATTGCTATGTCTCCGGTCGGTAAGCCAGGAGAGCAAATCCAACCATGATGTGGAGGTGTGGAGGGACCTGTCCCCGCCATGGCGGGCTGGGAGGTAAGAGAGAAGGGAGGCAGAAAGTGGACATCTGCTCCCACGCTCTCTCTAAGGGACAGGGCAGCGTGGGCAGCGGCAGGGCGGCTAGCGCTCCCCAAGGAAGGCCTGTGGGCACGGGAGAGGGCCTGTCTTCTGTGTGTCTTTCACATGGTGTGGTTTGTTCCGTGAGCGTGTGCTACTCTCCAGAGCAGACTGATCTGATGTTGGTTTTAGTTGTTAACGAAAAGGGCAGAAGTGTACACTGAGAGGTGGTAGGAGGAGGAGCTGTGCTCCTGGGGGAAATGAGATGGAGGTGAAGAGCTTACCTTGGACTGTGCTTTGTCATGTAAACGTGAGCTCAGGCAGGAAAGGGTAAGATACCTCCCACTACATGGACGTGAGCTCCTTATTTACAGCCTTTCATTCACTGTGACAGTAAAACCCTAACTGTACTGCTGGGGAATAGCTGGCTTTAATTAATTTAATTTCCAGAGTAATAGAATTAAGCAGAAACCATTTTCATTTTCTATTGAATACCTTTTAATAATGTAGCTATACTCGTCTACTGTAAGTTTAATATCCGGAGATAATTTAAGGCTTTCATTGTGCTGTATGCAGATTAAGACAATATAGCAATGGGACCCTGGCTGGTATTGCTAAGTGGTTAGAGCGTCTGCCCGAGCACTGAAAGGTGGAAGATTTAATTCCAGCCGAGGGCATGTACCTGGATTGCAGGTTCCACTCCCACCCTGGTCAGGTGCGTGTGGGAGGCAGCCAGTTGTGTCCCTGTGTCTTCCCCACGCTTCCACTCTCTCTACAAATCAATGGGGAAAAATATCCTCTGGTAAGGATTAATAAAACAAAACAAAAAGGAACAATAGGGGGGTGACATTTGTTTACTTTTTCGGAGCAGCATGATGGCTGTAGGACCAGCCCATCACCAGGGCTGCGGGCCTTGTTAGATGTTACAGATGTCAGCCCGGCTGGGTGGTGGTTTGGAGGGCATCCCGTACACAAAGGCTCCAGGTTTGTCCCCAGTCGGGGCGCATGTGGGAGGCAACCAATCGGTGTTTCTCTCTCCCCCTTCCTCTCTCTCAAGTTAATACAAACCTATCCTTGGGTGAGGATTTTTTTTAATGTTATGAATTCCGATTTCTTAGTGTCTCCATCCTTTTTAACTTGAAAATGTTCCTTGAAAGTAGCATCTAAGATGGGGGTGGGGAACCTTTTTTTCTGCCAAAGGCCGTTAAGATACTTACAACATCATCCGAGGGCCATACAAAATTACCAACTTAACAACTAGCCTGCTCGATTTGGCAAACATTTCATTAGCTCACCCGATGCCTTGGCAGGGCTGCGGGCCCTCTACGCCCTGGGGCTGGGTGTCCCCACCTGCCCTTGGCAGAGATCACGGCTTTTCCCAGGGTGTTCGCTCTCCCTGGAGAAGGTGCGCTGCAGCCCACCAGAGGGTTCGCCCAGGCCGAGCTGTCCGCAGTCGCTGGGCAGCAGGAAGTGCTGCTGGGAGCACAGGCCAGCTCACCAGTGGCCTGGCTCACAGGACCTAGGCCCTGGCGCAGTCCTCCTGGTGGCCGCTGCACCTGCATGGCTCAGCGTGCGGTGTGCAGAGGGGGGCAGTAAAGCAGCAGGCATGCACCACGGGTGTCCTGGTTGGGAGGGCCATGACATTGGAGAGGACCGTGAGGGATGAGTGTCAGGGGCACAAGCAGTAGGAGGCTGGAGTGCAGTCTGCGGAAAGGTCCCCCTGCCAGTGATTCCCATTTGGTTGGGCTGGGTACATTGATAGGTACCCCAGGATTCTGATGACTGGTCCCTGTAAGGCCTGGGCTGGACTGTTTGGAACTGGGTCTTACTCCATCTGATACTCTGAGCCTAAGAGAGGCTGGTGTTAGGTGTGGGCGGGTTGAATGAGCAGCTGAGCCAGCACAGCAGAGGGCGCTGCAGCAGTACGGAGGCATGCTACCTCCTCCAAGGCCCCAGACACACGGGACATTGTCTGGCTCCAGTTCTCCAAAGATAATCTGTGTGTTTTCTTTGACGAGGGGCCCAGCGCACGAATTCCTGCACCTTGGGAGGAACTGTGGGCCTCAAGGCTGTGGTGGGCACAGGAGCAGGTCTCTGCCCATCCTCTGTGCCACCGCCTGACCCCTCCCACCGCAGCCCCCAGCCCCCTCTCTGCCAGCAGCCCTGCTCCCACCACTCTGCTCCCACACACTGACAGTGCCAGCCCCACTCATACCCGCTGATGGCACAGAGCTATTGGGGCTGGCACCATCAGTGGGTGTGAGCGGGGCCGGCACCATCAGCGGGCACAAGTGGTGGCTGCTGCCCTGATCACCCCTCAGGAGCAGTGGGAGGTGGAGAAGCCCTGAGGGGTGATCAGGATAAGTGCAGTCTGGGCCGGGGCTGTCACTGGCAGCATGTGCACGCTGGGTGGGACTGTGGTTCAGGGGAGCAAAGGATTTTCAGTAATCACCAGAGGCTCACCCCGATGACAGCGACTGGTGCCCGCCTTGGTCTGGCACTCCCATTCACCTGCTCCACCATCCCGCTGTGGCCGACACCTGCCATGTTTCGCGTCGCCCCCTGGTGGTCAGCATACCTCATACCGACTGGTTCCGTTGTTCCTCTGTTCGGTCTATTTGCATATTAGGGTTTTATATAGATTTAAGATGGACATTGTGCTGATGCCACTTTTCTTTCTATTTAACAGGGAGAAAGAACAAGAAACACAAAAAGAGGAACGTTTGATGGAAGAAAAGAAAAAGAAAAAGCAGGAAGAAAAGAAAAAGAAGGAAGGTGCTCAGAAAAAGGTTTGGCTGGAGTCGCTGCTTCATTGTCTTTGCGATCATCCCATGTTGCATTTGCATTGCCATGGCCATCACGTCCCAGAATTGCATTTCCTTACTTTTAGCAGTTAAGGTGCTGAATCTGTAATTAACAAAAGACAAGTCATTGCGCTATGAAATAAATACCGGTGGCCACCGTACCATGGCTTTCTTAAAGACCCACAAGTGGTAGAGCTGTGTTTCAAAGAAGTTTGATTGCGGTTATCGGAAGTAAAGATTAATGTTCATGCTGTTCTCCTTGAAATAAACTGTCCAGAACAACCATAGAGATGAGAAAAGGGCCATTCAACTGATTTTATTAGAAAAGTTACCAATACTTTTGGCAGCTTTAGCAAATGTTCCTTTACAAACCCTATTAGTAAACATTAAAAACGAAAAGCCCTGAGCCATGCTTGAGTGTATGGCATTTAACGTACCACGTGATGCCATTCACTTCGGTTTGGCCTCGTTTATTCAGCTTGTGGTTTAAACTGTGCCTATAGGTGCGTTACAGTACCGAGCACCAGTGCGCTCCCAGGCTGCCAAGTTCGCCTCCCAGCCAGTACTGGCACGTAGTCAGCAGCATGTAAACAGCGGGACTTCCCAGTAATAACTTCCATAAAGGAACAGGGAAACGCTGGTTAGAACCCCAGTATTAACGTGTTTGTGAACTTTCATAGGCGTGTACATCCTACACATCATTCCTAAAGAGTTTCTGATTTTTTTTTCAGGCTGCTGATCAAAAAACCAAAGGTAAGTTTATTTTATTTGGGGGGAAGGGGCACGTTTTATGGCAGTACCAAACTTTTTTTGATGAAGATGACTTTTTCTTTAATTGATGTAAAAACAAAGGGATCGACCTTATATCATTCACCAGGAAAAATCTTCCTTTATCGCTGGGCTTCCACCTGCATCTCATGGGCGTTTGTTTAATCTAAATGCCTAAAGAATGTCGTGTTAGTTTCTAAGAAATGCTTTATCATTTCCTTTGGTTTAATTTCCACCAGACAGGATTGAATTGGTCAGTGGCTTCCGTGTAAGCACTGAGGGGTACTAGACTCTTCCCAAGCTCTGACAGAGAGATGTGCTTTTTATGTGTTCCCTCTTTGCTTAGGAATATACATGATTTCTTTTTATTCTCCAAGTCCGGAATTTGCTTAGTGGGTGTTGGTGGAGACGTGATGCTCAGGTGACCAGGCTGCTCTGTGGTTTGTTCACATGAGTGAATTGGAAGTGCTACTCCGAGCCCCCTCGTTTTGTAACGTTATTTTATGTTCACATAAAGGCAGTTTCCAAGTTAGAGGAAGTTACGGTATTTGGCTCTAAAGGAAGCTGACCTTTCTGAGAAAAATTGATGGGATTACCTGCTCAATCCCAGTGGCGCTCGGGCAGGTTAGGCTGGGCGAGGGGTCCTCTGCCGTTCTCACAGGGGACAGCCCAGCAGCACTGCCTCAGGCCCGCGGCCATCCCCTCCTCCGGTTCTTGAGATGCTGCTGCGGGAAAGGACGCTGTTCCGGAGAGCGGGGAGCGGGGCCTGAGCGAGGCTGGGTGCGGAGCCTCCTGAGGGTGCGTGAGGGGCTGCGGGGTGAGGAGGACCCAGTGCAATGGCCTGGAGGGGCGGCTGAGGCTCCCCACACGGAGCAGCGCTGGCCCAGGCGCTGGCCGGAGCGGGTCTTCAGGCCACGACCACCGGGGCGGCGCCGCAGGGAAGGCGCCTTTTCGAAGCGCAGGACGAGCGCTTGTCTGAGTCCCTCCCCCAGCCCGCCTTCTCTGCCGACTGGGCTCCCTCTCCTGGCAGGTGGTTGGAGTCCACACTTTAGGGGGGAAAATATCCCAGGATTATTGCTATTCCACATTTTATTAAAGAACACGCGCACACACGAGTCTTCTGCAGGGGCAGTGCACGCGCCCCCAGAGGACAGGCCCTGGGCTTGATTCCCCTTCAGCCAGCCTCGTTCCTGGAGAGCAGGGTGCGGTTTGCAGAGCTCGGTCAGGGCCTGGGCATGGAGAGTGGAGCTGGCTGGCCGGGAGCTGTGGCTGCCACTCAGGGCTTCCCTCATGGCTGTCCCCTGTGCTCCCTCATCCGGGCATCCCAGGTGATGGCACAGGCTAAACGGTACAGAAAAGCCCCTACTAATGCTCTGTTGGTCACATGGCTTTACCATAGGCTGTTGCCAGATATTTCTGTTTTAATCTTTTAAATCAGCCAGCTGTTGTTCAGAAACATGGCTTTATGATGAGCGGCACGGTGTAATGCCTTTTGGAGAGGTAACTGTAACAGTGGAGAGGAAATGTCTCTACACGACATTTCCCATTAGCAGCAGACACTGAGTTAATGTAGTTAGTAGGTAATGAGTCTGTGCTCATTTTGAGTTGTGCTCCAAAAGTTGCCATGGTGACAGATCAGCCAGAAGCTGTCAACAGAACAAACAGAAGGCCACTGCTGTACCCCCTGGGACTGCTGATAAGCACGCAGATGGACCCTTGTTGCTCAGAGCTGTCCCTCCTGTGTCTCGCTGTAAGGGGCTTTCTCCTCCAGCTTTGCTGTGGCAGGACCCCTGGCTGCTCTAGCAGGAGAGCAGTCTCTCTGAGAGTCACGTTTGCAGTCAGTCAGTCATGCATGTCTGAGTACATTTAAATATACAATTTTAAGAAACTCCGTATCTTTGGGTATATATTCTGAAATGGATGGAATTAATGCAATATTTTTAAACATTTTTTTTCTTTCACTGTCTTGTTTTTGCATAAGAGAAATTTCATGCTTTACATACAGAACTTCTTAAGTTCTCAGATGCCATCAATTATAGGACATACCATCCTATATAATAAAAGGCTAATGTGCAGAATGACGGAACAATGGTTTGCTATGATGTGCACTGACCACCAGGGGGCAGATGCTCGACGCAGGAGCTATTTCCTGATGGCCAGTGTGCTCCCACAGGGGGAGCACCACTTAGCCAGAAGCCGGGCGTAAGGCTGGCGAGCACAGTGGCAGTGGTGGGAGCCGCTCCTGCCTCCACAGTAGCCCCCAGACTGGGAGAGGACGCAGGCCGGGCTGAGGGACCCCGCCCCCAGTACACAAATTTTGTGCACCAGGCCTCTAGTTGATTTAATAATGTTCTATTGATAGAGTTTGAAGTTGAAACTACATTAAGTTTATGTACCAATTGTAAGATGCATCCACATTTCAGAAATAAGACACGAAGATGTGTGGCCAAAATGTCCCTCTAGGGCACATGTGTCAAACACAAGGCCCACGGGCCAAATCCGTCCCGCCAGGCCTTGCAATGTGGCCCGCACCGCGCTGTCATCACTGCACTCCGCTGCGTTTCCATCACAATGACAGTTTATGACTGTTCAGTAAACCATTCGGCCTGCGATTTAGGCTGGATTTTAGATTTTGGCCCCTTCTCTGATTGAGTTCGACACCCCTACTCTAGGTTAGCATTCACCAATAAACAGTTACTTTTAGAGTATCCTCTGACCCATTGCAGGCCTTCCTGCCAGCACACGTTAGGCTAACTGGTGGCCTCTGACATTCCAAGTGAGGGTGTCCCGGTATCGTCAACACCATTAGGAGGAAACCACGTGGAATGCCTAGCTCACACCACATACCCCACGGTCTGGTGGTTGAAAGGTTTAAATGGAAGAGTTGCTAAAAAACCTGTGCTCCTCACCACAGCTCAGTCGATGAGAACAGAAACCGCTGTTGCTGTTTTAAGCAGAAATGAGTTTAAGTACAGAAACTTGGGTGCTTATAAAGTCCCAGAGGCCCGGTGCACAGATTCGTGCACTGTGTGGGTGTAGCCTGCGGGGAGCAGCCACTATCCTGGTCAGCCGATTGTGCTTCCCCTGTGGAAGCACACTGACTGCCAGGGGCAGCTCCTGCATTGAGCGTCTGCCCCCTGGTGGTCAGTGCTTGTCATAGAGACTGGTGGACCGGTGGTTCTGGTTGCTCCTCTGTTCAGTCGCTGGGCTTCTATAGAGAGATTGTGAGGCCAGAGGAAGGACTCCCAAAGCATCCTCCCAGAAAGCCACTCTGGGCAGGAATCAGCTGTGACCCCGAGGCGCAACCAGTTCTCTCACCACCTCCAGGCTGCGCTGCCCCGGCTGTGAGTCCCCGCTTCCCACTGAGCGGCCCGCAGTCCCACTGTGCAGTCCGCAGTCCCACTGAGCGGCCCGCAGTCCCACTGAGCGGCCCGCAGTCCCCTGTGCGGCCCGCAGTCCCACTGTGCGGCCCGCAGTCCACTGAGTGGCCCGCAGCCCCACTGAGTGGCCCGCAGTCCACTGAGCAGCCCGCAGTCCACTGAGCGGCCCGCAGTCCCACTGAGCGGCCCGCAGTCCCACTGAGCGGCCCGCAGTCCACTGAGCGGCCCGCAGTCCCACTGAGCGGCCCGCAGTCCCTTGTGCGGCCCGCAGTCCCTGTGCAGCCTGCAGCCCACGGCCTCACTGTAACATGTCATTGGGCTTTTCCTTTCACATCATATAAACTCTGACAGTGCGCTGGATGCCAGGCGCTGCTATAAGTGGCTCTTTATGGGCATTACTCCCCAGAGGGCCCTCTCAGTAGGTATTGCTACCCCACTTGATCCCCGCTTACCCACACTTCACAGCTGGCGCCGCGGAGGGCAGAGCCTCCGCCTCAGGAGAGGAAGTGCCTGGTGGCCTCCCAGAGCGGAGGCAGTGAGCTTGGGAAGGTGGGCACAGCTGGGGGGGACGGGGGCTGTGGTGGAAAGGACGGCATTTTCTCATTAAGCTGGAGATGGCACTCGAGGTTTGTTGGTGATTTCATCTTTACATCTTTTTGTACATTTCAAATATTTCCAAATTAAAAAAAGCAAGGAGTGTCTTGGCAGTGTGACCGTGTGACAGTGGGAAGGGCCCAGTGCGTGGGCACCCCAGGCCCCTGCTCTGTGGAGCCTGGGAGGAGCGTCAGGTGGATCAGAGGAAACGTGCCCTGGCCAGTGTGTTCCCGCGTCTACAGGAGTGTGCTGCCGCTGCGGGCCAGGTTACCATGGTTACTGTGCTTCCCGCACCTGGAAAGGGGATGTCAGACAGGGCCACCTGGCTCTAGAGCTCCCACAGACAGGGTCTGGATCAAGTCACTGGCTTGTTTGTCACATCCGTTCAGCTCTCCGTGAGTTTGTCGTCAGAGGAGCCTGCCCCTAGAGAACTCCTCATAGTGGCTCCAGACTTCCTGTTCCATAACTTATAACTCTTTGTAGGATCGCTCTGAAGATCCCATCTTCCCTCACTAGACTGTAAACTACAGGGACGGGAACCCTATCTCTTTATTTTCCTCCGTGCACCCCGTGCCTGGCACAAAGTGGGCATCATTAGCTATTGCCCATGAGTAACGAGGAGAGGGTGAGTGGGGCGCCCCACGCTGTGAGAGGAGAGTGACAGGCCGTGAGAAACGAGTGTCCCCCCTCTTCCCTGCTTCTCCCGCTCAGCGCCTGTGGGGCTGCTGATGCGACCACTGTCATTTGTCTTCCCGGACTGGGAGCTCGGAGGCAGGGGTTCACTGCAGCATCCCCCGTGTCCGGACGCGCTGGGGGAGAGGGGGAGGGGTGCCGCGCAGGGTGAGGTCAAAGGGCAGGGAAGTGGTTCAGTCACATAAGGGGGTCTGGTGACCGCCCTGCACTGGGAGAGCACCGGGCACAGCGGTGGGGCCTGGAACAGCCCGAGCGGCAGGGGCCTTGTCACGGAGCTGTGCCTCCGGCCGTGTGGACAGCGGACTGAAGGGGCAGCGGTTGGAGGTATGGGTGGCCCAGCGAAGGGATGGCCGCCTCAGCGTCTGGAGGGCCACTAGAACAGGGAGTGACCAGGCTGCTGGCAGTTGGGCTGGTCAGCCAGGGGGACTCCTTCCATCTTGGTCTAGAGGTGACCGGGTGGCTAGAAGGCGCTCCTCCAAAGAGAGTCCTCTGTGCCCAGGGACAGCGGGGCCTCCTGCGGAGTGGCTGTGTGGAACGGCCACAGTATAAGGTGACAGGGCCCTCCCTGGAAAAGCTCCGCTGAAAGCAGAAAACTGTCTGAAAGGAAGTTGTGTGAGAAGACCGGCCTCACTGACTAGTGACTTCACACACCCCGTCACCATTTAAAAGACAAAAGACAGTGAGCGCATGTTAGGCCCAGGAGCCTGGCCCCGAGTTCCAGCTCGCTGGAAGGGTGTTTGGTTGGTTGGTTGATTGTTGGTTTTTTTTTTTTTTAATGTATTTTATTGACGTCAGAGAGGAAGGGAGAGGAGAGAGAGAAACATTAGTGATGAGAGGGAATCCTAGATCGGCTGCCTCCTGCACACCCCACACTAGGAATCCAGCCCACAACCCGGGCTGTGCCTTGACCTCCCAGTTCATAGGTCACCGCTCAACCCCTGAGCCACACCGCTGGGCATACTGAAAGGTTTTTGATTTTAGTATGCAGTTACTAGCTGGTTGCTATTGTAACTTTTCTAAATAAAACATAAGGTTCACTGACGACTCAAAACCAAGCTAGCCCTGACCTGGTAACTTGGTTGGTTAGAGTGTTGTCCTGGACACCAAAAGGTTGTGGGTTCAATACCCGGTCAGGCCACATATCGGTGTTGTGGGCTCCATCCCTGGTCGGAGCATGTGTGGAAGGCAACCAATTGATATTTCTCTCTCCCTTCCTCTTTCTCTAAAAATCAACTAAAAACATATCCTTGGTGAGATTTTTAAAAAGAAGAAAATCACCCAAAACTCCCCTTGCCCTCACGTGGCCTGCTGTGTGTGGCGGGTGAGCCGGGCTGTCTAGGAGGGGGGTCAGGGTTGCTCTGATGCCCACGCTGTGCCTTGGGCAGCAGCTGATGGAGAAGTTGGGATCTGTGACTGTGTGGCTACCCAGCACCTGCCTGTTGGATCTGCTGATACGAAGAGGTCAGATTGCCAGATCTGCCACTTGTCCGGTGGAAGCCGTGCTAGTTGGCTGCTTGTTTGAAAGATCTGGCTTACCGTAAGCAGGTCTTTCTGTGGCATTCCCTACACGTCTGCGATAGGCACAGAACTAGGAATGTGTCCATTACTCAGTATAAAGCTGAGACATCCACAAATTACGTAAGTAGAAAGGAATTTTTTCAAATGAGATACAGTAGCGTTTACTGGCTGTGACTGTTCCAAATGCAAGGCGGCGGCTGCGGGGCCCAGGCCCCCTGTGCTCTGGCATGAGGTCATCGCTCTCCGCTCCTGCCTGTGCTGCTGAGTGACTGAGCCTTGGCCACCAGCTGCCTGGCAGCCTGGCTGTCACTGCCGTGTTGCCCCTGCCTTCTCTCCCAGGGAGGGATGGGAGTGAGGTGGGCGTTTGCACCTCCAGTGCTCTCGTTACCCCAGGGATCCGGAGTGCATCCGACATGCTTTCAGACTGCCACCAGCTAAAACAAAATGTCCGCTCTTAACGGTGGACACCTGGCTCCCTTCGTTTGGAGAAATGCTGGCCGAGAGCCGCGGTTGTCTGAGTGCGGCCCAGGCCCAGCAGCTTCCCCATCGCGTGCGGCTTGTCAGAGGGGCGGGGCCCGGGTGGTGAGCATGCAGTGGCGCACGTAGATGATAATATAATGCGCAGCTGGCATTAGATGGTGTTATTACCCATAACATTCCGCTTAAAAACAAAGCGCAGGCTTGTAGTCTGCCTTCCCTCCAACCCCGAGTTCCCTCGGTGGGGCCAGGAGTTGGGCCTTAGCCCTCGTGCTGACTCTGATGCAGCTGGAGTGAGACCTGCTCTGATTAACACCCATTTCCCAGAGGAGGAAACTGGGAAAGAGCCACAGGCAAGATGGCGGGTACTCATAGGAGACCGGCTCTCACTCAGTCTGTGCCCAAAGCACCTCATTGTCATCTCTCAGTTGTTTTGTTTCGTTTTGTTTTGTTTTCTCCGGTTTGGGTTGGGTGTAGGAGGTGTTATTAAAGTGTTGGGGTCTTTTCCTTTTGTCCTCACAGTGCCAGAACCTACCAAGACCTGTTCCAGCCAGCCCCAGCCTGCCGGTACCGGGACCAGTACTTCCACCAGCACTCTCTCCAGCAGCAGCAATGGCAAGCGCGCACCTGCCGGCGGCCAGCAGCCAGCTGTGTCCCGCTACCTGCCTCGCGAGGTGCCTCCACGCTTCCGCCAGCAAGAACAGAAGCAGCTACTGAAGAGAGGCCAGCCATTGCCCCCGGGGGCTCTGACCAGTGTGAGCCCCACGCAGGGCGCTGGGCCCGCAGGGGTGAGCCCTCCTCCCCTCCCTGGAGCCGGAGCGCAGCAGCCGTCGCAGCCCAGCAAGCTCCAGCCAGGTGAGACCACGAAGGCGCTCTCCTCCGGGCTCTGTGCTGCTGTCCAATTGACGGAATAGAAGAGGACACCGTGGGTCCATCGGCAGTGTACATAGGATAGAGCTAGCTGGATAGATGTTAGATAGATAGATGATAGATAGATAGATAGATAGATAGATAGATAGATATGTAGATAATAGGCTGGTAGGGAGCTAATGGATAGATAATAGGTAGAATTCATTTCCGTTAGGTTTTGAAGTTTAATTCCCTTCCCCCTCCTATTCCTAGGACTTACTATTTCCCATGTTTTCGGGCATTAGCTGCTGTGTTGCTCACAGAAAGCGAAGGTCTGCAGGCAGCCAGTGACCTCGGCAGTGAGCCGAGCCCCTCAGGAGACTGCAGTGAGGCCTCGCCGGGTCACTAGGCGGGCGCAGGGCCGCACGCTCTTTGCAGGGAGGCGATGGCGTTGTATGGGGATGGGCGTTCTGGCTGTACCGTCTGGCCCTGAAGCCAAACCTGCCAGCAGCTCGGCATGCAGTCCTCGGGTTCTGACCCCCCTGCTTCTGCTGGGTCTGCCCGCAGCACCTCCCGCTGCTCTCGGCTCCGGAGAACTGCGCTTGCTCCTGCTCTCCAGCTTCCTGGGGTCACGTCTCCTGTCTGTCGCCCGTTCTGGCTTCTGGGCCTTAGGGGTTTGGACTGTACAAGAGCTTGGCTGAAGTTCGGAGTGTTTGGAAGGGAGCAGGGTGCTGTGGGAACGGCCACACTTCCGTGTGCCCTGAGCCTCTCCGCTTGGACGCTGGCACTGGCCCGGCGAGGGCACCAGGTTTGCTGACGGCAGTGAAAGTCAGGCCTGCGATTGGAGAAGCCAGGAGGCTTCTCGGATTCGATCGGAATTTAAAAGAAACATGTCACAGGTCATATTAACATGTTCTTCTTTCAGACGGTGACCTAATATGGGGAATAATTGCTATATGACACAGAAGTATTTATAGTGTATTTCTCAAAACTGTGACTTTGTGGTATATTTGGAACAAATATTTTTAGACAGTTTTGCTATCTCTTCAAATAGTCTTGACTATCCTGCTAAGTTCCTGGGCAAGGGGATTGCAGCCTTTCTGCTGTTTCTTTCTCCCCTGCTGGTGTAACGGAATGGGTCAGTGGTCTGCGCTGGCTCTAATGCCCCATAACCTGTGCTAACAGTGGCTCCGGGTTTCCTGGCCCCGGGAGAGGGGTAGTGCGTACACGTGGTTCCAGAAGAGGGTCGTTCTCTCCTGCTGTTTTCTGTCCAGACTGTGTCTGAGGCTGAGCCCCCAATTCCAGCACAGAGAGCTTTCCTCGGGTTGAAGACCCCCCCCTTCCTTTGTGCGACGGGAACAGTGGGCCGTGTGCTGGCTGCCCTGTGCGGTGCAAACAGCCTCGGTGGCTGTGAGAGATGGAGTCAGAAAGTAATTAGGAGTTGGACACTTGCCAATTTGCATATGGCGCTCGTTTGGGATACTGGAGCGAGTGTCGGTATGCCACATGTTTGGGGGTTGGGGAGGGAGAAGGAAGCTGGTGGAAACAAAGGCGGCGAGAGGACGGCGGTGTGTGCCCGCGGCCGCAGCGGGCGCCATGCTCCTGGCTGGCTTTCAGCGAGCAGGCCGGCAGCGGCTGGGACCAGGGCCTGGATAAAATGTGACAATTGGAGAACTGAAAGGAGGGACGATCGGTTTGGTGTCAGCTGCAATTAGATAATCAAAGCTTTCAAGTCCTTTGTGGGCGCCTCCCCCGCTGCAGGAGAGGAAGGGCTGCCAAGCCTGCCGCTGCGGCCGAGGGCCCTGCAGGTGCCTGCATCCAGGTGACCCCATTGCAGGCGAACAAGCAGCTGGCTTGCAAGGTAGCGTCTCCGGGGAGTGGAGGCCCAATTCTGCATGTATTTCTGCCCCATCGGCCCTGGCAGAGGAGATGAAAGGCACAGGGAGCAGAGTGTGTGTTTGTGCCATGTCAGCGTGTGACATGCCATCCGGAAAGCAGCTCGGTCACACTGATAAAATGGAGTCTCAGGCAGCTGCTGCAAGCAGCCGGGCAGGGCAGCGCAGGGCCTTCCCATCGGCGTCCTTGGCACTGGCCGGTCTCCCAAAGGCGCAGGCGGCTTGTTTGGCCCCCACTTCCATCGGCGGGACAGGCTGTCAGCGGAGGAAGCACACTCCTGTGCTGCTCGTTTGTGGCTTCTCCGATGCCCCACTGTTGTTTCAGTAAACCTTCCCCCCACGCCGGCACTCCGCTCAGCATTTCCTGGGTCTCCGCTGGGGAGATGGGGTCAGGTGTCCCTCTGTCAGCGGTGGCATCTGGATTGAGCGCTCCCTGAGGCTTTGTTGTGGCTGTTGTTGCTAATCGTCACCGAGGTCTTTTCCCACGGACCCTCTTTCTACAGTGGAAAGGAGGGAGACAGAGAAAGGAAAACATCACTGTGAGAGAGACACCGACTGGCTCCTCCCACACGTGGCCTGACCAGGCGGGGGACTGAGCCTGCTGCCAAGGTATGTGCTCGTGACCGGAATTGAACCTGGGACCCTTCAGTCCACAGGCCAGTGCTCTCCCCACTGAGGGCTCTGACTCTGAACTGGTGAGGTGGGTGTGAGTGCGCACACGTGTGAGGCAGGTTCCAGAAGAGTGTCTGTCCTGCTGTTCTCTGTCCGGACTGTCTGAAGCAGAGCCCGCTTCCGGCCCTGAGAGCTCTCCGGCCTCCTTAGGTTTCCACAGCAAATGCAGTGGAGGGTCAGGTGTGTGGCTCCCCGAAAGCTCCGAGCAGCTGGATGTGAGCCTGTCCCGAGGACTCTGTCCCCACTGCGCCTGGGTCAGCGCGCTCACAGCTGTGGAAGGCAGCTCCGGAGTTATTCTTTATAACATATAGATATTACTCTGTAATTTCCGTTGGCAGGTGGTGGTGATAAAGAATGAATTATGTCCTATTTGTCAGTGTTACGACTAATTAAGCATTCTGCACACTTCTGAGTAAATCTTGTGCACGCTTCCCTATCTGATTAATGTGATACCTAATTACGATTTTGCTTACTGTAGCTTGTGTAAGCTCTTTGTTAAGTACTTTTCCTTGAAAAAATAGATCTTAGTGTCATTAACATTTTAGAATTTGAAAATGAAAAAAAAAAGAAAGTTCTCTCTTTAAATGATGCTGTCATGTAATCCTTTTTCATTTAATTGCTGAAGACAGTCCGTTACATAGATTGTCATAGACACTATTTTTAGAACCTGTGAGCCATTTAAACAGCAGAGGAAAGAACGGCGTTATACACAAACTTCAGTCCTTTTTCTCTTTAAGGCTGGTTTTAGGGGAAATTATTTGGATAATAGAACAGTAGAGTGGAAAGAGCACGAGAACTTTATTCTGGAAATGCAGGCTATTAGTTACACTCCTTTTCCTGCCCGCCCTGAGCCTGCCGCCACTGTGAGTGACGTGACGGGAGAGGCCCGGTCCTGCGCGGCGTGTGCCGGGGTCTGTGCCCCACGGACGGGCTCTTGCTCTGAGCAGGACTGCTGAGCTCACAGGTGGACGAGGCCTGGTCTCGTCTCAGAGGACAGTCCACGCTGCGGAGACACGGGATCGGAGGCATGCCTGGCTTTCGCTTTTCCTCCTTGCACTTTGTCCCTTTATCCGTTTCCGTCTCACGGGGTTTAAAATGGGGACCCGCTCTGTCCTCTGCGGGCTGAGGCCGTGCTGTGTGCCTCCGGGCCTGCTGTGTTTGCCGCTGGACTGAGAAGACGGTGAGTGGCATTTGCAGATCACACTCCGTCTGTATTTGAAGACCATAAATACTGCATTAAAATGATAACTCTTCTTTCTGGTTTTTAAGACCTTTCCAGCTCTTAAATACATTTTATGTTCAAACTATAATTTTTTAAAAGTCAATGGAATAATTTCCTCGGGTGACGATTAGCAAAAAATAATAATAATTTTTAAAACAAAGTAAAACGGTACGATTCCTCAGGAACTTACACATAGGACTGCCATGTGACCCAGCACCCACTTCCGGGTGTGGACCCAGAAGAACGGAAAGAGGGCCTGGGACAGATGTGCATGTACTCGTGTTACCCAGCGTTAGCCACAACTGCCACCGCGCGGAAACACCGACGGGCCGTGGTGGGTGAACAGATAAACCACCTGTGGTCTAGGCATGCAGTGGCATGTTACTCAGCATTCTGACACACGCTAGAAAGGGATGGACCTGAGGACATCATGCTCAGTGAAGTCAGCCGGTCACAAAAGGACAAACACTGTGGTTCCATGTGTAGAGGGCCCGGAGCAGCAGTGCACAGAAAGGGGGGGCGTGGTGGCCAGTGTTGGGTGGGCGGAGTTTCCGTTTAGGTGATGGACAGTGGCGGTGGCCGCACATGTGAATGCACTGAAGTCACTCAGAAGCGGTGAACGTGACCGTGTGTGTGGGACACTTTACCACAGTAAGAAGTGCACTGGCGTTCGTGGCGGGGCTGAGGGCAGGGTGCAGACACGTGCTGGTGTTTTGCTGACTCTCGTGGTGAGGGGCAGCAGAGGGAGGCTCTCGGAGCCCCTGGCTTAGAGCCTAGAACCTTCAGGATGTGCCGTTAGTTCCTCCACATCTTTCTGAGCTGAGAACGGCCAGGCCGCTCCCCCGGCGGTTGCTGCAGCTGGAACTCCGATCGGTTCTATATGTTTATCCTTTGGTTTGCCCAGGACACATTTATTGGTTGCCTGATGTGTGGCAAGCATTATGGATATGAAACCAAAGATACCATCCGTGTCCTGAAGAACCTCACCTTCAGAAATTAAGCTAATTCAGGGATTATATATATATATATATTTTTTTTTTAAATATATTTTTATTGATTTTGTACAGAGAGGAAGGGAGAGAGATAGAGAGTCAGAAACATCGATGAGAGAGAGTCATCGATCAGCTGCCTCTTGCACACCCCCTACCGGGGATATGCCCGCAACCAAGGTACATGCCCCTGACCGGAATCGAACCCGGGACCCTTCAGTCCCCAAGCCGACGCTCTATCCATTGAGCCAAACCGGTCTCGGCAGGGATTATATTTTTTTAATCACACCAAATCTTCGTTCTTACCAAGTTGTCACATTTTTCTGACAACAAAGATGTGCTCTTTTAATTATATTCCTACGACTTCTGAACATGGGGCTCTCACTGTGGCTACCGTTTGGGATTCTATCTGTTACCTCATTTGATATCCCATTTAAGCATTTTTCAGTTTTTTAAACTAGAAGAAAGTACACAGAAATAAAGCTACCCTCACAGTAAGATTTGGCCTGCCCTGTTTCGTTCAGACCTCTGTGTCAGAGATGTTACAGATAGCGCGGCCCCCCCCCCCCCGTTCTGCCCCGGACGGCACCAGCGGCATCGGAGCGTGTGCGGCGTCTCTTCCCCGTTGGGGTGCCTTTCGCTCGGAGGCGGACAGGGATCGTTTCCCCCTCTCGCCGGCCTCTTGGCTTTTCTCTCGGTTTGCTCTTTGTTCTGTGGTGCTCTCCGTCCGTGCTCCCCCTTCCTGTCTGCGGCTGTTTTCAGCGTCCTGTGTGATGTGTCACCGCGCTCTGATGTCACCGCTGACTCGGTGTGTCTGCCGTAGGAAGGCACAGGGAGTGTCCCAGGCCATAGAGATGGTCTCCTGTGCTCCCTTAGTAAGAAGTTTTGCTTTCATCATTCGGTCTTTATTCCATCTAGAGTTATTTTTGTGTATGAAATGAAATCGTGATCGAGAGGGGAAGGGGGAGAGAGAAATATCAGTGATGAGAGAGAATTGTTAATTGGCTGCCTCCTGCGTGCCCCCCACTGGGGATCAAGCCCACAACCCAGGTATGTGCCCTGAAGTGGAATTTAACCGTGACCTCCTGGTTCATAGGTCGGTGCTCAACCACTGAGCCACACTGGCCAGGCAGTTACAATTCTTTTCTACTAATGAGCTGCCTAGCCTCTGCATGATACTGGAGCCCGAGTCTCCAGAAAAACAACGATTATTCTCAAACGCAGAGACCTTGTCGATGCCCAGTCTCGCAGAGGGCTGCTCTAGTGCTGCCAAGGGGCACGCCTTTTCACGAGGCTAGACTTCAGCGAAGCAGGCCCTTCCGTCCAGAGGCTCTGAGTGCCAGTGTGCGTGTGGGCATCGGGCCTTCGCAGGGGGAGGAGAGGACAGTGCGGTGGTAGGAACTAATTCAGTTGTAGCAACACAAACTCGTTTTTAAATGGGAGCTATTAAAAGACAAACAGCTTTTTTCTCTAAGTCCTATTTTTAGCATTTGTCATTCAGAACTGAAAACTTGAAATAATGAGCTTCCCCCAAAGACGAGCTAACAGTTGATTCATGACAAACGGGAGGAAAATTAATTGGGGTTCGTTCATCTCTTCCAGATCCCAGTCACGGCGGATTGGCGGATCATTATGAGAGTTCCCCCTGGGCACAGCCGCCCGCGTTCCGGAGTGAAGCCGGCTGCAGCTGGGAGAAAGTGGTCATAGACAGGACCGACTCGGAGGCCTGGCCCTCCATCCCCGGGGCGGGGCCGGAGGCGGCCTCAGCATGCACTACGGACACTGACTGCGCCCCCCAGGGCGGCGCGGAGAGCAGCAGCATGGCGACGGCGAGCGCCCCGGGCGGCTTCACGGGGCACGCCAAGAAGACCAATGGCAGTAACGGCACCAATGGCACGCTGGTCCAGAGCCCTCCGAACGCCAGTGCCCTGGGCGCAGGGGGCGCCAACGGCAGCGGCAGCACGGCCCGAGCGTGGGGCGTGGGCGCGGGCTCCAGCTCCGGCCTCGCCCACTGCGCGCTGGGCGCCGGGGAGGGGAAAATGGACAGCCTGCTTGCCGAGGGAAGAAGTCAGAACTGCTGGGGCGCTTCCGGCCCCAGCGCTGGCATGAACCTCAACCTTAACCCCAACGCCAACCCAGCCGCCTGGCCTGTGCTCGGACATGAAGGAACAGTGGCCACGGGCACCCCTTCCAGTATTTGCAGTCCGGTCAGTGCCATAGGTCACAGCGTGGGCAGCCAGAACGGGACCCCGCTGGGCGCCTGGGGGAGCTTGCTGCCGCCCGAGAGCACAGAGCCGCCAGCACCCGCCTCTCAGAACGTGTCTTTCAGCGCACAACCTCAGAACCTTAACCCTGATGGACCAAGCAACACTACCGCCGCGAGCTCCTCGCCGAACCCCGCCAATGCAATGCAGACCAACGGGCTGCCCAACTGGGGCCTGGCCGTCGGCATGGGGGCCGTCCTCCCGCCCCACCTGCAAGGCCTTCCTGGTGCTAACGGGTCGTCAGTCTCTCAAGTGGGCGGGGGCGGTGACGGGATCGGCAGTTCCGTGTGGGGACTGTCTCCCGGCACCCCCGCTGCCGGAAGCAGCGCTTCTGGGTTCGGCCAGGGGAGTGGAGACACTGTGAGCTCAGCATTAAGTGCTAAACAAAACGGATCCAGCAGTGCCGCGCAGAAGGAAGGGAACGGGGGCACCGCCTGGGACTCGGGGCCTCCCGCCGGCCCCGGGATCCTCGCCTGGGGGAGGGGCCGTGGCAGTAACGGCGTCGGGGGTATCCATTCGGGAGCGTGGGGCCACCCCAGCCGCGGCACCGCCAACGGTGTGAATGGGGAGTGGGGGAAGCCCCCAAGCCAGCATTCCAGTGGTGAGGCCGGCGGGAAAGGATCGACAGGGTGGGACAGCCCCGCGGCCGGCAGCCAGAACCCCGCCCTGCAGCCCGGCGGGGAGCACGGGAGCGCCTGGGCCAAGGCCGCCCCCTCGGGGGCCCCGGCCAGCGCCGGCAGCAGCGAGGGCTCCTGCGGCCACGGCGAAGGCGGCGCCGGGAGGGACGGGGCCGAAGGCCGGCGGCGAGACAAAGGGGCCCTGGACCAAGGGCACGTCCCGCTGCCGAGGAACGATCTGGACCCCAGAGTCCTGTCCAACAGCGGCTGGGGACAGACGCCCGTGAAGCAAAACACGGCCTGGGAGTTCGAAGCGTCCCCGCGGTCCGAGCGGAAGAACGACAACGGGACGGAGGCCTGGGGCTGTGCGGCGCCGCAGCCTCCACACTCAGGGGGGAAGAGCGATGGGTCCATCACGAACAGTACAAATACCTCTTCAGTGTCGGGCTGGGTCAGCTCGCCGCCTGCTGCTGGGCCGGCAAACACGGGCTGGGGGGACGGCGGCGCCAGGGCGCCACACGGCCCCGGGGTCTGGGGGGACTCCATCGGCTCTGCTGCTGCTCCTAACGCTGCTGCTGCCAAGGGCGGCCACACCTGGAGTGGGACCGCCAGGCAGGAGGACAAGTCGCCCACCTGGGGTGAGCCTCTCAAGCCCAAGCCTCAGAACTGGGGGGACGGACAGAAGCCCACGCCAGCCTGGAGTGCCGGAGGCGGGGACTGGGCCGACCCCGCTTCCGTCCTCGGGCACCTGGGGGACGGGAAGAAGACGGGCTCCGGGTGGGACGCGGACGGCGGCCGGTCCGGCTCCGGCTGGAGTGACGCGCCCCGGCCTGGGCCCGGTGGCTGGGGCAATGGCACGAGCACAAAGGCGAACACGGGGGCGAACTGGGGAGAGTCCCTGAAACCCGGCCCCCAGCAGAACTGGGGAGGCAAGCCCCAGGACAGCAGCATGAGCAACTGGGGCGGAGCCGCTTCCGTGAAACAGACGGGGACAGGGTGGATCGGGGGGCCGGTCCCTGTCAGACAGAAGGACAGCAGCGAGGCCACGGGCTGGGAAGAGCCTTCTCCCCCGTCCATTCGACGCAAAATGGAAATCGATGATGGTACCTCAGCTTGGGGCGACCCGAGCAGCTACAACAACAAAGCTGTCAACATGTGGGACAGGAACAACCCGGGCCTCCAGGGCAGCGCCAGCGCCGCCAGCGGCTCCAGCATGGGTGACCTGCCGGCACCGCACCCCGCCAGCGCCCCGCTGACCCGCTCACCGCTGCTCGGTCCAGGTACGGAAGGGACTTGGGCTCTTTAGAGTGAGAAACGCTCGTTCTCACCCGCTGTGCATGCGTCCTCCCACCAGTGCTAACAGCCAGCGTCAGTGAGCCCCTGCAGCTAGTGTGGCGGTTAAGTAGCTGCCCAAGACGAGGCCCCAGCAGGCTCTGCCAGCTTCCTGCCGAGAGAGAGGCCCGGCCCCGGCAGTGGCCTCGGAGAGCTGGCCGATGCGCCCTCTGTCTGCATGCAGTCTCCGCGCTCAGTCGGTTTCCTGGGAGCGGGGGCTGGGGACCCACCCCAGATTCCTAGTGTGTTAGTGGAGGGAGCCCCCTCTCTGGTCGCTCCAGATTCCCACAGGGGTCTGATGTGTGCTCAGCCCGGAAACGAAGGTCCCTGCGTCCTGAGCAGGGCGTTATCCAGGCCCGTACGGAGAAGCATTCTGACATTTGCAGTGAGTCTGCAGACGCAGGAGAACCCTGAACGTTACAAAGAACGTTTTTGTGAATAACAAACCCTCACAGGAGACTCTCAGTCTGACAGTGAGGTTCCGGGAGTCTCCAGAAATGGGTCCTTTCATCCCTGAACGCTCAGGTCTCCCCAAAACGTGTAGATAATTTGAAAGGGATTGGGGCTGGAGTAGAATCCAATATGAAGGCCTTTATGGACTTGATCTGAGCTACCCTAGGAACCGTGGGGTGAGAGCATGGACTCTGGCTTGGGGTTGCCTCTTGCAACAGCAGGTAGAAGTGAAACAGCAGTGCACGTGCCGATCAGAACAACAGTGGCGGGTGCACTCCAGGCCATGTGGCCGGCTTTGGGAAAGATCCTTCCCTCAGCCTTCAGTCCCCTGAGGGGGACGGAGGTCAGACAAGTGGCACGAACCAGGCGGCTGAAAAGCAGCGCCCTGTGCCGCCTGGCTGAGCAGACTCCTCTGTGTGAGCTCCTCTCTGTCCCCGGCTGTCACCTGGGGAACGGCTCTGTGGCTAACCCTGCGCCGCACTTCCCGGCCGGCGTGAGCCCGTCTTACTAATGAGTGAGTCCCCGCGGTGCCAGCATGTGTGGTAGTGTTCGTTCCCGGCCCGTGTGTCCCCTGGGAGAAGGGAGGTCCCCACAGCTGGAGCCCTCCGAGCAGGAGAGCTTTGCCCGGAGCGGTAGGGCAGAGCAGGGCAGGAGGATGCAAACACCGCTTATCTTTGTATTTATTAATTATTTTTTATTAATTATTGCATTTTCATACGAACTCCTGTGCACCTATTATACTTTCGCCCTGCCCTGTATTTGAAGGACCATTTTTAAATTTTAATATTCATGTTCTAAAAATTTAAATATAAAGTAGAAATTTGTTCCACCTCATTAAGCCCAGCTTTAAACAGCCTCTATAAGATCATTAACGTAAAGGGTACCAAGTCACCTAGCAATCAGCACCGAACTGCGGAGATTACATCTATTTTAGCAGCATGTATTTAGGGTTATTTTCTGTCTACACGGCATCAAAATTACCTAGTCCACCTGCTCTTAGCATTTCTCCTGAGCCGTTGGCGCTTTCTGGCGGCGGTAGTTCGGCACTGAAGGTAAAATGTACTCTTTCCAAACCACCCTCAGGCGGAAGTAGGGAGCTTTCACTTTTTAGTAGGCAGTTATTTTTCCACTTATTTAAGATTTTGAAACATGCTGCTTTTGCAAATCATTTGCCTTCTATATAAAAATAGTCTGTAGACATTTCTGCTGCTTTAATAGGAATTAAAAACTCTTTGCAAAAATTAATTAACTACAATTACCATAGTCTTAAATGTTTATGTGTAGTTTGGATTTGTAGTTTTGCCTTTCAAAGATATGGAAGTAGAAGGATGACAAGTTTTAGGCGAATTCTTCATTTACTTGTAATTACCTATGATAAATCAGTATTTTTCCAACAGATTGGCCGTTAGCAACAGCTAAATTATTTTATCACTCCACAACACACATCATTTTTATCAGCTATGTTAATTTTCCTGATTTAATTTTGTCCCTTCAATTTGTAAAACTGCTTTTCCAAATATACATACACTATTGTTTTCTGTGTAATTACAGGTAATATTCTAGTTGACAACTGCTGACAATAACTGATTAGAGCTAGCTTCCCTGTTGGTGATAATTTACATAATATATTGCTCAGCATAGAGCTTGTAATTTAAAATGACTCATAGTTGCATGTCCTTTGGTCATTAATCAATATTATTGTATTTTATTAGAATAAAGAGTGGCACGGGGAGTGATTCCATGCTATTTTAGTCAGAGAATTAATGTTTTCTAATTGAGATGGCAATATCCATGTTGCAACCAAATAATTGAAAATCTGTGGTTAACTGCTTGCGTGTTATGCCTTCTGTTCCTCTATTCCAGTGGTCGGCAAACCTCAACTCGCGAGCCACATGCAACACAAAATACCACGGTCTGGGCGAGTCTATTTTGAAGAAGTGGCAGTAGAAGAAGTTTAAGTTTAAAAAATGTGGCTCTCAAAAGAAATGTCAAATCGTTGTACTGTTGGTTTTTGGCTCTGTTGACTGATGAGTTTGCCGCCCACTGGCCTATTCAGTTAGTATTTAAAACAGTATTTCCACCTGGGAACCCCTGTCTGTCTGAGCCTG